AACTAAGGCATATTTCTCCAGCTATCATTACAATAAAACACCAGAAGTTTTTTGCACATTAAAAGTGAAGCAATGGTTTCTGTGGTAGCTCAGGAAGGCCTAATATGGTGTTGCCTGAATGTCTCATCAAACAGAAAAGTTCTCATCAAAGATATGCTCTAGATAAGAACCTATTGTACCATTTTCTCATGAATCAAAACAGACCTGCTTATCTACAATAGCAATATGTTTATCAAAACACAAATCATTGTCTAAATAAACTCCAAGATCCTGAACTAAGAATAAAGTATTAATTTAGAGGCTATTTCAAGCAGAACTAAGAACTGAATCTTTCTTTTAAAAGAGGGTGTAGTCACAAAGCTGTATGGGGATGGGCCTTGATTCAGAAGGAAAAGAGCTTTCTCACAGAACTAAATTTATACTTCTTAATGCTTTTCAGGTCTGTGATATTTTACAAAAATAAGTCCTTATAATTACAAGTATCAGTAATACACAGATCCACAAAATCCAGGCAGCTAGCGTCAGTATACAGATCTACAAGGACTTTCAATGTGAGAAAGTTGTTAAACCCTAAATAAAACCCAACTGACAAGGGAAGAGGTCAAATAGGATGGTGACAGGTACAAATCTGAATACTGTTATATTTTCCCTTTGGTCCTAGGTCTTTGGGGCAAGGGCTTTAAAGACATGGGACCTACCACATTTATACCTGACATTACACTTATCCAGTCTTTGCTTCTATATCATGTGCTGCTCCTCCAACACAGATTTTGGTGCTAGAGACAGACATTACACATAAACAGGTTTAAGTGATCAGAAACTGGTTTAAACCTGTAACAGAATAGATGTTCAGTGCAGATAAACCAGTTTGAAAATGGCTGAAACTGGTTTGAGATAAACCTGATTGAATGTAATATATCAGACATAATTGATTTGGTCCAAACTAGTTTATGCAATGTCTGTCCCAGACCCCTTGCTGGTTTAAGTTAAATCGGAGTCCCACAGCATCCCAGCATGCTCTCTGGGCTGGGCAGGGCTCTCTGCTCTACAGCAGGGCTGGCCCCTTCCCTCTGCTCCCTGGCTGGAGCTCGGCACAGACTTGCAGGCACAGCAGGGTCTGCTGGCCTCGCTGTGCCCCCCCTCACCACTCACTGCTTAAGCAGAGATCCCTTCCTCATCTCTGCCACAGCAGGGAATGTAGCCAGCATGTGGTATGCTAGCTAATACTGAGAGGGGTCTGTGTGTGTCTCTCTCCAATTGCACAGGCAGACAGAACAGTGACCACTTAGGGCTTTTGGAGCTAATCAACAGGTCAACTGGTAAGCTGTTTAAGAAGATTGAAGTAATGTGGAGAAAGGCTATTTTTTGGCTAATTGGGTTATAAAGACTGTTATCAGCCCTTCCCTCGCTCCTCCAGCTGGCTTGCTTGCCTGTCAGTTTGCTGCAGACAGTATGACAAAGCAGGGAGGGAAAAGCTCTGTATCATCAACAGCTGCATGCACTGCACACATACCCTTGCCTCAGAGTGCTAACCTGGGGCTGGAAACACTCCTGCCCCTTGATCAGCCAGCTGGGAATAGCCTGGGACCATGCAGGCAGACATCCTGAATGAGAGAGTCCTGCCAGAGCCTGGCAGCACCCCACTCAGCTCAGCTCCCTGCAGAAGAGAAGGGAGGGCTGCTCTAGCACCCCCCGCACTCAGCTTCTAGCCTGACCCACTGCAGGCATGTGCCTAAATTTCCTCAGTCCAGAGAGAATGTCTGTCCAGTTTCAAACCAGTTCAGCCTAGCCAGGTTAAACTAACCTGCAATGATTGAATCAATTCAGGCTTTTTGAATGTCTGTCCCTAGCCTGGGTGTTATGCAGGCACAAAGGTGGGAAGATACCAGTCACAACCATTAGGTGGGAATACCACCAGCCTGGGATGTTTCTTATCAATCAAGTGACACACTTCCACCTCCTCTCCTGCCCCCCCAGGGGTACACTGGGCCTGGAGGTGGGGAGGAGAGGAGGAAAGAGGCATAGCAAAACAAGGAGGATCAGGCAAGAGTGTGGATGGGGCATGATGTACTCTGAAATCCTCTGCTAGTATGGGATCCATTGAGGACTACAGTCACACAGCACTGGTTCAGAGCGGCCCCTCAGCTATTCTAAACTTTATACAGGGAAGTGAGCAGAGGATCAGGGTTACATGAACGATTTGATGACAACCCACTTCTTTCTTCTGTTGTGTTGAGTAGACTCTGGACACAGCAGGAAATATGACCCTTTGTCTCTTCATTTTCTTTTATGACAGTAAGGTCTTCAGAGCAGGCCCTAACTCTAACTATACTCTCTAAAAGTACAGAGGACCATTGGATCCCAACCTGATACTAATTTCTGGGTGCTACTGTAATTCAGCTGGCAAACAGTAATAATAGTAAAGTCTACTGTTGTTCAGCTCAAGAATTAATCCCTGTACTTATCACTATTTTCAATGTTTTTAAAAGAAAACAATCAGAGATGAAAGTGTAAAAATCATGGATAAAAAAGCATTTTGGGTTAAAATGTAATGCAATTGAAAAATGCATCTCTCAGCAAAAGCAAAGTTGTTAAAGTGTAAGATTCCAGCCGCCCCAAGTGCTGGTAGTGCCAGTCAATCCCTCAAGCCAAACAGACTAAATAAATTAAAGTCAATTGGGTTGTGAATTACACATTACACTTTGTTTCCATTCCACTTTGTCTCATAGTGTATGAAAATGGGCAGAGGTACATAGAGCCATACATAGAGTCCAATCCTCTTTGGGACTTGTTCATGACGTTCTACCTGATTTTGTTTTAACGGTTGTCAGGCAACTTTTCTAAATGGAAGCAAAGATCGTATTAAGAATCTACCATCCAAAGGACTATATGTGTCTATCTTAATACTGCACTGATTTGGCAATAAGCAATATATTTAATTCCCTTTCTTGAATTCTCAAAGCAGGACAAAAAGTTATACATTGACTTAGTAGAAATAGTAGCTAACATGCCAAAGTCAATTATGGAAATGCACAAGAAAGCAAAAACCTTTTTTGAAAGTGAAATTAACCCCTGCATATTTCCTATACTGTATATTTTAAAGAATTTAGTTAGGACAGATGTAAAGAAAATTCCTGAATAGATGAAAAGTAAAAGCAAATGAGACAAGGAACAGATACATAAGTTCCTTGTCTCAGAAAGCTTGAAATAATTTAAACAGTATAACAAGAAAAAAAGCTAGCACAAGAGGGAGAATACAGGGCAAATGACAAGGAAAGCAGTTGGAAAGCCTCTGAAGAGATTTCCTTAGAGTTACTGTTGGGCATTAAGGGTTGTAGGCAGGTAATATATCATATCATGTTAACTTCTCAATTTCTGGGTTTCCTTCAGTAACTGTGAAATTGCCACCCCCATACTGACAATGGGAAATGCTCAAGTGTAGGCCCACAGCTAATTATGAAACAAAAAGAGGTATTTTATGTAAATGATTATGAAGGCTGAATATGAAATTGGTAAGTGCACAAGAGGTGGAAGATTGTGCCAAGTGTGAGGAAGGAGCTATGCACAGGGGAGTGTAAGAAATGGCTGATATATGCGAATAAAGTTAACAGAGCGAAGGGCTCACAAAACGGGAAACAGGAACAGCTGTATGTGTATGAAAGAGGTACACAGTAAGTAGTACAATCCAAGTAGCTGTTAACGAGAGAGGAAATGGTTCCAAATTTAGTGTTGTTAGTAAGATTGATAATAAATGGTTTCTTTAATCAGAAAAATTGTGGAATATTAACAAGAAATAAAGAGTTGGTTTTGTTGGAGGGTTGGGGGGGGGTAAGTCTTAGTAGTTGCTTAGTGCAATATTATAAAAAACTACAGAACCATGCTGTCCCAGATATCCTTACTAGGTGCAACCTACAAGAACGAGGAAACACTTAAGCTTTCCATATTACAAGCAGCAACCAGAAAGCCTGGATTTATCTCAGAAAGGGACAACAACATACTAGCAAGTTACAAAACAGTAAAGAGGCTAACCAATAACACAGCAGGTGGTGTGTGAGGGGACACACATAGACTGACTTTTTGTGGGTGCTGGAACAGAGGCAGTGATGCTTAAAACTTCAACAGCTATGTCTTCCAACAGAACAAAGTAAGCAGAAGTGGCTAGAAACCAGCTTACAGCAAAGTCTCGAGGCTCTGGAGTGAGGAAGAGGGAATTTGTTGGAGAGGTAGGCTGCAGCCAGGTTTATGCTGCTACCAAATTTCAAATTGTATAGGGTGTGGTTTTCAGTGTCACCCTTGAGCCTCGCTGATTGCAGTTCCCCAGCCTAGTCCTGCTACTCTGCACCAGCCAGAGACCTAACTGAGCCTGGACCAGTTCCTGCTTCCGTTCCAGTGCCCACAGGTCAGGTACATCTCTGCTATCCAGGGCACCGAATATACTAGTTACACCTCTGGAGACCACAGTCCCTCTTTTAAAACAATGAATGGCAGAAGAGGCCTCCATCTCACCCTTACATCATAGGCACCTAGTGGATCTGACACTTAATCTTCCCTCTAACCTCTGTGGAAGCTTGACATCTATCCACTGAACATGGCTGCAACACAAGTTGTCCACATGTCCACCATGCCCTTTTCCTTATAACTGAGTGGAAGAGAAAAGGTTAAAGACAGGAGCAGAATTGTGAAGAATTTTGCAGGTAAGGATTAGGAGTCTAAAGACTAGGTGGAAGGTGACAAGATACCAAAAAATATATATAGTACAGTAGCGGGCAAATGAGGTGATTTTTTTTTTTTTTGCACTGCCAAGATTGAATAAACGTTGGGGAGTGATGTCAGTCATGTTGTTAGGGAGGCCAGGGGGCAGCTGTCAGTGTAAGAAAAGAGTAAAAGTACAAGGATTTGGGTTATAGGAATCCTTATTTCAGTAATATCGTTGCATGCAGTGTTTTAGAACATGTTACACTATACCATACATACCTGAGACAGTGTATTTTCCTGTACAGATTTGCCTTATGATCAAGCCAGAAGATCAGCATGGACAACTCACAGTCATCCTGCTCCTCAGTCTAAAGGTAACACATCTGCTTACTTTCCAACCTAGAGGCCCAGTTCATGACAGGCAGAATTCCAGTGCAGTTTTAACTCAAACCAAAGCAGCAATATCAAGTATCAGAATGCTGCCGTTGTGTTTTTTAAACTGTTATGACTCAGGTGTCTAGAGTGGGTATCTGTGTATCAAGAGCTGATCTAAGAACTTGAATGAGGAATTGGGTGCATTACATTTAGGGTCAAAATTTCAAAATCAGAAGAGTTTGGAGAAATGTTAAAGTCTTAGTTATCTCTATATTCAGTGTCTATTTACGAATAAAGTAAATGTAAGTGCAAGTGCTGTAGACTCTGCAGGAAGATAGGTTAAGATCCCTCCGATGTAGCTGAAATATATTTAAATGATGGGGGTCTCCTAAATGTTGTTCTTTAAAGCCTTTGGGCTCCATTTTCCCATCTATGGTTGCATGCAGAAAAGACTCAGTGTCCAAAGAAGAGAGGAGTTCTGCCTCTATAAGGAAGAGCATTATTATACATTAACTCTCAGATGTGTTAAGGTCTCTTAAAAGTATCCACACATAAGGAAAAACAGGTCTCTTTCCTTGTGAGTTTCACAAGAAGTTACTTAGAAGAATTTGATTTTTCCTCTTTGTGTACATCAGTACTTCTGACAGGAACCAATAGAAATATGCTTGGATGGAACTTGCCATTCACTGGAGATTATGGTGTTAGAATTCCTGATCTGCGATGCCAACAAGTCCAATAAGTAGTGCCTGGTTTAACCCACAAAATCACAGCCCCAGCTTGCTAATATCATGGCCTGATTATGGTGAGGACTGCCATTTTCATTAGCCCAGATCACAGTGTCCCCCCATTCCCCCAGTTGGCTGAGGTGGCAGGTTTAGGTCCCGGTTTAATTGCAGCAGCAGAGGCCTTCCTTCCAAGACCTCTGATAGCTGCTGAAAAGTAGACAGCCCTGGCTCGAGGTGCGGGAGAGACTGTTTGCTTCACTGGGCAGGAAAACTGGGGCACAGGGAGTTGGGGGTGCCTGGGGGCTACTTTGGCAGACAGGCTTGGCACCAGGTAGGGGAGGGACTGTTTGCTCCTCTGCATGTGCATTTTCTTCCTCCAACCCCCAGTGCTGCAGTTGTCACACCCAGAGGAGCAAACAGCATCTCCCCTACCCAGTGCCAGGGCCATCTGCCAAGGCAGCCCCCAGGCACCCCCACCCCCTGCACCCCAGTTTTCCTTCCCAGAGAAGCAAACAGCCCCTCCCCTCCCCATCCCCAGGCTCTCTCCTCCCCCTGTCCCTTTTGCAACCCCTTCCCCCCACCTCACCTGGGCTGCTGGACTTTTGCAGCTGGCTGGGGAATGCTTTCCCCAGTCTGTGGCAGCCATCCTGTTGAAACGAAATGCCATGACATAGCTGCTTGCTGGGGAGTTGCCCAGCAAGCGGCCATGTCATGGCATTTAGTTGCAGATTGCATTTTTTGTGAAAATCACCTAATTTCATGATTTTCACGAAAAATGCAAAATCACAATTTAAACCAAGCCCTACCAATAAGCATGCATATATATGTATAGTAATAGCTATGTCCTTCCAATAGAGCTAAAATCTGTTCTCATTGAAGCCAGAAGGACACTTGCCTTTATTTCACTATGTGATCACCTGCATATTCAGTTGAGCTTATCAATCCGAATTCCAGTGTTTTCATCATCAGATGCCACACTGTTGGAAGTCCAGCAAGTTGTTGCTCCTTGTGCCAGTGGTAACTTTGGCCTTTTCAATGTAAGATAACTTTGGTGAGGGATTTTCAAACTGGAAAATTAAATAAATGTATCCATTTTTGTATTTTCAGCTACACAGCCATCATCATCAGCAGTGTCCAAAACAGAAGACCAGCGTCCTCAGTTAGGTGTGTGTAATTTTAAGTTAGACCTGTGTGGCAGGGAATATATTACATGTTTCCAGAAAGGCAGTACAGTGTGCCAACAGGTAGCCTACTGGGAACGCTTTTCAAAGTATGGAGTTTCCTCATGTAGCCTTGTCACTTCATATATTTGTCTGTGTGTCCTGTCCATGCAGCTGACTCTCAAACTGCAGTTCTTGTGGTTACAAATCAAAGAGCTTAGAATACATGCTAACAATTTGCTGTAAAGTCAGACATGGTGAAACTGCATCATTGCCAACATACTGTCATATCCCCACCATGACCTGCTTTTCGTACTGTTTAAAGGATCCTCATAACTGATTAAACTGATTAAATCCTTATAACTGATTAATCAGAAAAGATGGAAGCTAAAGATGACAAAGGCTTCTGTACCCGGAGGATGCCGTGGGTAGATGGATTTGGATATTATGTTTTCTAGATGGACTTCAAGTTATTATTCTGGTTTATGTTATAGCTGAATAAGAATATGTGCATGGCTACATCTCATTAACTTGAGCTGTTTACATACAGTGTTTGGGAGGTATTTTATTACCGTTTGTCAAAATAGCATTTCCTAGTTGTAGCTAATTTGAGCTCCCGCATACTAGAGACCCTTGAGAAAGGTAGTGACATTTAATGTAAGTCTTGTAGATCACTTATTAGCTTTGTATGAACTGCGCACAGTATTTTACGAATATAAAAAATGCCACCTGATTATCCCCTGATCTGTCATCCATTTGAGAGTAGCTCCCAGGAGGATGAGGCTGTTGGGAAATGAGAAAACCTAGCAACAGTCACATGACCAGAGGGCTTAAAGCTGCATTAATGCCCTGTAGTTTTGGCTCTGGTATTTGTGGCTCTCTATTCCCTTTTCCTTCCTATTTCTTTTCCCAGGAAGAAGCCACTGAAATTCCATGGTACCTGGCTACTTAACTCTCTCAGGCTCCTTTGAAAATCCTAAGAAATTACATAGAACATTCCTTGATTGACCAAGTGTTCAAAGAAAAATTAACTCAGCTTCATCTCTTGTGTTCGGCTACGTACTTGGTTCACAAGAATGGAAGATAGAGTGGATAATAGATTTAAGAGAAAGAGCGAGAGAAAGGGGCCCTTTGAATATATTATATTGGATTCTTTAGGCCAAATGTCCAGCATCTAAATATGCTTGCACATGTGTGCACCTATTGATCCATTAAGAAGCAACAGAAAACCAGTGTCCCAACACTGATTTTTTCATTTTCATGTCAGTGAATGTCTTCTATTCAAGGAAGCAGGAAAACTATCCAAAGGAGGGAAAAAGACATCAGTTTCTTCAGTTTCCCTCTTCTCCCGTCAGAAAGTACCTACCACTCCCAGAATGTAGGGACCACAATCACCTTCCTCTAATTCTTACTCCATGGGAGCCTCACGATTTCAGCTACTGCCATCTTAGCTACTGAACCCCCCCCCCCCCCCCCC